TTGCCACAGGCAGTATTTGTTTGTGGGCTCCTTTTTACCAGAAACCCGACTTCCAATTAACTAACCACTAGTGGCTTTTGGTTCATGTTGTGCTGCTGCTAAACCTCCTTTCTACTCTTTGAAAATAAACATTGAATGGTTTAACCAGCACCCAGTGGAGCACGGTAACACCATTAGAACATCGATGGAAATTTCCATACAACAATGGAGCATGTTTAAGATTAAAATAAAATGTCATTTCCAGGGGTGACGATGCACTACAGGCCCAGCAGTGCTCACCAATCACAAAAGGTCTGTACAGTGTCAGTACATTCTACATGCTCACTCTGTGAACACCCAGGAGTGAAGCAAACAATGGAAGGCAGTCGGGTGTTATTACCCCTTCCATGACCCACTGCCTGGGGCTGTTGATGGTCTCCTTCGTCAAGCTCAGGATCAGGCCCACAAGAAGGTTCTCCGATTTGCCAATTCCCATTGCACAGAGAGCCTATAAATCAGCATAGGGCTGATGTGCAATTCGGAAAATTAAAAACTACATGGAGGTTGCAGGTGAAAATATTCAAAGTAAACCTGAAAAACCAATCTGCTGCAGACCAGAGATACTATAAGTAGCCTGATCCTGGTGAACCTACTTAAATGTCTACTGTATGGACTGCCTACTGCAGCACTCTCCACACCAGAAATCTTCCTTTCTACTCTTTTAACATTTAAAAAAATGGTTAAGTAGACCTTTGTGGAACACTGCAACAAAAAGATTAAGAGGTTGATGTAAACTTACAATAGCAGTTCTTCTTTCTATTCTGAATCGAGGGAAATCTCTAAGAAGAACTTGTCTTAACAACAAGATGTGTTTTAGTGCATGTTAGTTATCAGTTGCATTGACTGGTTACGTATAATTGCAAGGAATTGCGAGGCTATTAGGAGCTAGAGATGATGCATCTGTATCCATCAGGACTTGTTGCTAGTCTTCTTTCTCCACTTAAAAGACTTTGCAACATCATCAGATTGTGTGGAGCTTGATGTAACTTTAACATTGACTTTTTTCAGAGCATTTGCATTATACCCATTTTACTTGAAGCCCTCCAGTCACCTGCTAGATGAAGGTGAAGTTTTCACAATATTTGCACTTTCTTCTGGTGTTCAATAATTGCTCCATACAACATTGGTCAGTGGCATTGAACAGGAAATGTTCATTGTAAAAACCTATTGGATCAAATGTATTTTTAAAAATTGCCTCCTCCACATAAAGGCATGGTTAATATAGGAATGCATGCAAAGTTAGAAGGTTTCCAAGGACACCTCTGGGTCAGAAAACTTGGGTCCAATTCCCATATACTCCAGAGGCCATTGACAAGTTGATTAAAAATATCTACAACTGAGGTAATTCATGAGTAATAGTGTCCCTAGGGACTAGAATGATTTGATACTGAGTCTTTGTTTGTGGTTCCTTACACCTTTCTGTGTTAGTACTGTAACACTATTATAATACATACTATACTGGTACCCGGACATGATTTTGCCAACTTTGAATAAATGCATGAAATGTAAGTTAAAAATCATTACAGTAATAACATGCTTTACAAAATCAAGGGCCGTTTTACTGCAAATTATCACCTGACTGTATTTTTGCATATTCCCTGTACAAACATCCAGTTATCCGGCGTATATATTGCACAGAAGTGTCTGGGTTAGCTCAGTTGGCTGGTGTGTAGTTCAGAATAAAACCAACAGAGTGCTTTTAATTCTTCTTCTGGATGGAGTAGATTTTGGGACTTATGTCTGTGAGTGGAAGGCAATGGCAAACAACTAAGGTGAAAAGCTGTCAGGAGGAAGCATAGATAATGAGACAAAAACTTGTTTTTGGCCAGAGCATATATGACTGAATACTGCACACCCTTCAAATGGCAAATTGGCTATTTCATGACTTCTTTAAAAGTTCATTTACAGGATGAGGGCATCACTGGCTGGATCAGCACTTTTTGGCCATCCCTAATTGCCCAGGGGGCAGTTAAGAGTCAACCACATGCTTTGGGTCTGGAGTCACATGTAGGCCAGACCAGGTAAGGATGGCAGTTTCCTTTCCTCAAGGGCATTAGTGAACCAGATGGGTTTTTACAACAATCGACAGTGGATTCATGATCATTAAACTTTTAATTCCAGATTATTTTTAAATTAAATTCAAATCTCACCATCTGCCGTGGTAGGATTCAAACCTGGTTCCCCAGAACATTATCTGGCCCTCTAGATTAACAATCCAGCAATAATACCACTAGGCCATCGTCTGTCCGATAAGCTGTGATTAACACTTTGGGAAGTAAGGATGCTTTCCAGGCAAAATTTTAGTCTTAATTTTTATTTAGCATTTTCCCATCATTGTACCCCAGCCAGACTGACTGACACTGGAGAACTCAGAAGTTTTGAGGGGAAATATTTACAAAGACAATTTCAACATACAATGCTGAGACTGTTCTGCTTTAATTAATCCTCAAACCTTCCTTTGGAGCATGATTGTGTTAACAATTAGGACTCCCTCAAACTGCTCAAATTACAGAATTATAGAAACATACAGTACAGAGGAGACCCTTCAATCCATTGAGTCTGTACCTAGATTGAAGGGTCCGTAAAAGTTACCTTATTCAAACTCCATCCAAAACAAATGCTTGGTCAAGATAGAATTTTCATTGACAGATTGTGCAGACATCCTCTTCCAATTGTTCCTTATTATGGACTTATAATTGGTGATTTCAAGAGATGCAGAAGCTTCGGCAATGTAACTAGCTGTAAGTTTTCCTTTTTTCTTGCAGTGACTCACCTAGCATTAGAGTTCCAGTATGTGCTTGCAGTTTGCAATGTATCACTCCAGCTTTGATAGTACATAGGATTGTACTCAGAGCTCCATGCAAAGCGGAGGATTCTCTAATATGGAGGAGTGTCGAATTCTGTAAATACACCCTGGATTTTCTGTTCCAAGCCTTCTATTCTATCGCAAAAAAAGTCAGATGGCTGCAAATGGATCTTGGAAGAGTTCTTTTCTATTCCTAACTGACTTGTATCTAATTTTAACTTTACTTCCATTTCTTCTGGATCCCCTCACTAACAGAAAGTTTCCCTTTATCTATCATATTAAATGGTACAACCGTTCCATTCACCCATTAAATTTAATCTGAAAGAAGTATAAACCAAGTCTATGCAACCAGTCCTTTTAATTTAATCATTTGAGCCTTGATAATACGCTGGTAAATTTGTGTTGTACCCCTTACAAAAGCAATTTATCCTCCACTCTTCCTCAATGCTAAGTGCCATACTCCAGATAGGGTTTGAGCAGGACTCTGTACAACCAATCAGTCTCAGTTTTGTGTGCTTTGTCCTTTAAATTTTAATTTACCTGTGATTTTGTGCACCCACTCCCTAATTCTGCATTCTAAGTCATCCAAATACCTAACCTTAGCAAACTATGTCCAAATAGCAATTTCCAATTTCAGCTGAAGGGTTCTAATCTAAATTTCACCGTTACAAAATGTCCCACAGCTGTTCAACCATGGCGACACTTAGTTCTTCAATGAGTATCCTGTCATTCAAATGGTAAACAGCCCTGACCCAACGCAGTTTTGATGGTGCTGTAGACGCTTGACAAGAAAAAAAAAGGCCATTTATACAGTGCTTTTCATGATCATGGGAAATCTTAAATGGATTTTGCAACCATTGAAGTATTTTTGAAGAGTGATCCCTGTTATAATGTAGGAAACATAACAGTTAATTTGCACAGTAAGAATTCACTTAAAAAAAACAACAGGATCACAATCAGATAATTGTTTTTAATGATGTCATTTGAGCAGTAAATGTTGTCCAGGACAATTCAACCTTCCTTGTTGATCTGCAGAATAGTGTTATGGAATTTTTTACACCTGCACAACAGGTAGATGGGGCAACAGTTTAAAGATCTCATTCAAAAGACAGCAGTATTCACTCAGCACTGCACTGGAGTATCAGCTTTGATGTTTGTGCTCACAGCCTGTAGCACTACCTACACCTTGAACCTTACCACTCAGGGGTAAGAATACTATGACAGAAGCATGAATGATGGAAGTTGTGCCAAGTTGTTCTTCACTCACCAAAAGGAATCTCTGTCTCTCTTAGGGTCTGGACCCCTCTTACAGCATCTGGCCCTCTCTCTTTCTCTAATGGTGTGAACAGCCCCCTCTCTCTGTCCCAGGCTCTGAGCCCCCCTCTCTCTCTCTCTCTCTCTCTCTCTCTGTCCCAGGCTCTGAGCCTCTCTCTCTCTCTCTCTCTCTCTCTCTCTCTCTCTCCCAGTCCCAGGCTCTGAGCCTCTCTCTCTCTCTCTCTCGCTCTCTCTCTGTCCCAGGCTCTGAGAGAGAGAGAGAGAGAGGCTCTGTCCCAGGTTCTGATCCTGTCCTCTTTCCCTCCAGCACATGTCCAGCCTGCGCGTCCTGAGAAGCAGCGGTCTCCTAGCAACAGCCTCGGCGACGTCATTTCCGCGCGGAATGACAGCGAATGAAATTGACAAGTGCGAGAAAGAGATACACAGAGAGATATACACACACACACAGAGAATAGATAGATACAGCAAGGCAGGGAGTGAGATACTCCCGGACAGCGAGAGAGAGATGAACCAGGAGTGAGAGGGAGAAGTCACCCCCCACCACCCCCCCAACCCAGGGGCACAGGGACCCGTCACCCCGGGGACATAGAGAGAGCGACTCCCCCCGATCGATGCCGCACTCGGGCAGCCCCCGGAGCCTGGCCGCGGGGGCTCGGCAATGAAACTACCGGCGCAGCTTCCCTTTAGCGGGATGGCGAGGCGGCCAGAGCCGGGGCTCAAGCGGCGGTGCTGACAGACGTATCCCACCTCCTCCTTCCCCCGGTGCTGCCCGCCCTGTGTCGCTCTCCCTGAGCCGGCTCACCACCTCTCGCTGCTACTGCTGGCATCGGACGGAGGGAGGCCATTCGGCCCTTCGCTCCTGCTGCGGTCCCTCTGCACCATGTCCACCGACTTCGAGCGGCTGTCGCTGAACTCCTCGGCTAACTCCACGGTGTCGGCGAGCGGCTCGGGCGGGCGCTCGCTCTCGTCCAACGTGAGGAAGCTGCATAACGCTCTGAACGTTTTACTCAGCGACTACGAGCGGGAGCAGTTCATCCACTGCCTGAACGTCTACCACTCCAAGCGGAATGTCTTCGACCTGGTGCAGACTCTGAAAGTGATCCTGAACAGCCAGGAGAAGCGGCAGTTGCTGCCTATGCTGCGGCTGGTCATCCCCAGGTCGGACCAGCTGCTGTTTGACCAGTACACCTCGGAGGGACTGTACCTGAAAACCGAGCTGCTCACCCCGGGCTCTGACAGCCGCCAAGCCCGCTCCGCCGCTGCCAGCCACCTCCATGTAAGTGTCTCACTGGCTCAATGTGAATCCGGGCTAGATTACCACCCCCAACCCCCAGAAAGGGATTAAATTGCCCCTTTTCCCTCCCCACACATTCAGCTCATTGCAAATGCCAGCACGCTCCTGCACTGCTGTAATCGACCAATATTTATTCTTCAAGTGCACTAATTAATAAGTAAGTGAATGGAATTAAATACGTGTTGAATATTTTAGAGTAAAACAGAAGGGTGCATCTAGGTTGTTTTTTTGTTTAGCTATCAACGTTGCTATCTCCAATTCTGTTTCCCCGAGTACAGTGCAGAGCTCTGAGGCGCTACAAACACTTTTTACTGCACGCCTTTAATTCACCTTGTTGTCCAGGGCTCTCATCCAAACTGACTTCACTGTCGCCCCTCACCCTCACTTATTGTATTAGTGCTCATGCCTCTCACTCACACTGTTCGCCGTTATTCCGGTGGGCAGGGGAACATCACATTCCAGCGATGAAGTTCCCAGGTGCTGACATCAGACAGATGTCTGATAAAATGATAACCTTCTGCTGAATTTAGTGAATCTTAGTCAGACAGCAAGGGGAGCCACAGGGATAGGGAAATGGATTAGCAATTCATCGCCAGAGCGGCAGAAAGGCAAAGCAGGACAATTTTTACTGCTGTTGTTTACGGTCACTGGGTCCTGAGAGACGCCCAGTCATCCCACCAGAGAGAAAACAAATGTCCCCTAACATTGGCACTTGGTATTAATGTATTCTAACCCCCTGAGTCCAAGATTTGAGTCGACCATGAGGAGGTGTGTTGCAGTTTGTTACAGAGACAAGAAGAGATTGTTAGAGAGCACTTGCCGTGTCTTTTTCACGGCAGGTCTGTCCTACACTGAACAGAAACCAATTCCAGCACAGTCTGTTTCTCCTGCGGATGTGGATAGATGAGTTGCAAAGCAATCAGAGCCAGCGAGCGAATGGATGGGGCAGCCGTGAAAATCCAGCAGCGAGAAATAATTTACGTGTGGAAAGAAACTTCACGTCGGGTTAAAATGCCAGAAAGAAAGGAGAGCGGCTATTGACTGGATTGAGCTGTCGAGAGTTCGATCTGCTGTATATTTGTAAAAACCAAAAGAACTGCGGATGCTGTAAATCAGGAACAAAAACAAAGTTGCTGGAAAAGCTCAGCAGGTCTGGCAGCATCTGTGAAGGAGAAAACAGAGTTAACGTTTCAGGTCCGGTGATCCTTCCTCAGAACTGGTCACCGGACCCGAAACATTAACTCTTGTTTTCTCCTTCACAGATACTGCTGTATATTTGTGTCCACTTAAAAATGTGTAAGGGTGAAGTCCCTGGGGTTTGGCTTGGCTCCTGTTAGAATTCAGACGTGAGGAGTAAATTTATGACCTGTATTCTAATTCCAGGCTACAAAAATGATGCCAACTCACAGAGATGCTGGCAGGTTGTCCTGTCCGTTTGTGCAGGTGCCAGGCGCAGAGTAGAGGCTACGCTCACTCTAACTACTTGAAACACTGATCAATTAAAGAAATCACTTGGAACCAAAACATCTCGTCCTATCAATGGGCGGCTCTCTGTTTCAGTTAGTGAGCATACAACTTAGCTAATATAGGTTTGACGTTACGTACAGCTGGACTGAACCTAAGTCTCGGCTTTTACCCGTTACTGCAAATTCAGAAACAGCGTGTCACAATAACTGGTACGGAACTGCACGTGTTACCCATTCGGAATAAATTCGGGAGATACGTTTGAGGCTGTATATTTGTAAATGAGGCCGTATATTTGATACGTTTGAGGCTGCTTTGATTGTTATTGTGGTCTGAATGTTCAGTGAACTTCACGGAGAAATAGAAGCTGGGTGGAGTGAGCTATTTCCACAGCAGCGCACCGAGTCTGTTTTGTAACTCCAGCCCCCATCCTTATTAACTGCTGTGTATATCGTAATCTTCCACCTCAGCCCCTAAGTGTTTTTTTCCTGGAGGACACTACAGTTACCCGAAGAAAGGGGAAACAAATGGTGTTTAGAACTCAGCACACTGTCTCTGCTCCGAGTCCTACAAGGAAGGAGGCGGCGTGACTAGAATCTGTACAATAAACGAAGAAAAACAGGATCAACAAGCGGGCTGGGTGTAGGCGGCGCGCTATTCGGTTAGTTTATTTTTCTATGTAGCGATCTTGGTTCACCTTTCCTATTGCTACACTTACTTATTGTACAGACATTAGCCTTTAATCCAGTTCAAAAGAATAGAAATAAATCTCTCCTTGGCGCTGGTTACAAGTTTCAAATGAAATGAGTCTCAGCAATTTAACGTTGTTTTAAGGATTTAGTGTGCAAAATCATCACTATAGGCGTCAATTACTGACTTATTCTCAATTACAAATGCAAAGATTGCCTCCAAAAATCAAAGAACTAGAGTGTTTTTTTTCCCGTGGGATTTGTGAGAAATAAATCTGTTCCGCTGATAATAATCCGGAGTGTTCAATAACTAATCTTGTAAAGTGAAAAATAAAAACTTACTGATAGTCAGCTATCTAAGAACAAATTGACAAGTCCTCAAAGGAAGGCACATTAAAATGTAAACTTTTCCCTTCCTTCTACATCATCACAAGAAGTTGCATTTTACACTTTTTTGTGATCTTAAGTTGTCCCAAAGCAGCAATTTACGGGCACTGAAGTATTTTTGAAATGTTATCATGGATCCAATATAGAGAAACGCAGCAGGCAACTTAAGACTGGCAATGAAATAATGACCAGGTAATCTCTCTTAATGATATTAGCGATGGGCTAAATGTTGGTGAGGACACATGAAGAATTTCATGGCACGTATTCCATTAGTTTTACAGATTATTATACATCCACTTGAAAGACCAAATGAGGCATCAGTTTTACATCTCTTCCGAAGATGACACCTATGACGATGCAGCATCCCTACTGTTTAGCTCGATTGTATATTCAGCTCAAAACAAAGTGCAAGAAAATCTCAGCAGATCTTGCAGCATGTTTGGAGAGAAAAGCAGAGTTAAAGCGATCAGTCTAATGACTCCTTTTTAGAACTGTTTCTCTCTCCACAGATGTTATCAGACCTGCTGAGTTTCTTCAGCACTTTCTGTTCTTTTTTCAGATCTCCAGCATCTAGAGTAATTTGCCTTTAAATTATTGCATGTTCAAATCTCTGGAGAGAGGATTTGAACCCACAACCATCTGAATCCCATTACTGAGTGAAGGTGAGCTGCTAAAGCTGGAGATTATTGATTTACTGGAAATATCTGCAATGGGAGAATGGATTAAGTCAATGAAGATGAATATATATAGTTAGAAGTGGATAATGCCACATATATGAGATTGAGACAACCATCCCATTTGATTCATTGAGAAATGGAATGCAAATATCATTTTTAAAGTATTTAAAAATTATTGAAAGGCTGAAATGACAACATAATACTTTTTTTTTACAAATAAGGCTTGTCATGAAATAAAATGTATATATGTAGCGATCCAGATCCAGTGATCCAATGTAAAGTCCAAAGTAACAAAGTGTAGAGCTGGATGAACACAGCAGGCCAAGCAGCATCAGAGGAGCAGGAAGGCTGACGTTTTGGGCCTAGACCCTTCTTCAGCCTTCCTGCTCCTCTGATGCTGCTTGGCCTGCTGTGTTCATCCAGCTCTACACCTTGTTATCTCAGATTCTCCAGCATCTGCAGTTCCTACTATCTCTAAAGTCCAAAGTATTTGTTTTCTCTCTGGGTAAAGCACTTCACACTATCAGCGTGCCAATATTTCTATCCAATGAAATTCTACACAGTGCAAAGCTGAAGGAATAAGTAAAATAAATGTTTGTCACTTATGATTAAATCTAATTAATTGCATTGCATTCAAACTCAAAATTTAATAATCATCAGTAGAGATTAACTCTTTCAACAAATGTATTTGGGAATATATTATGTAACACAGTGTATATTTTCTGCTGTGATTTATTGAGTTTTTTTTCGTTATTTACATGTAACTACTATCTATATTGGATTGCCACTGCAACTATTTGTTTTTGTTTTTTGCCCTTAGCAATTAGACTCCCAGGTCTCCAGACAAGTGCAAGTCAATTTCAGCACCGAAAAACGGACAGCTCCTCCCTATCCAAGCTTGGTAATGAAAGAAAATTGTGGAGAGATCAGGCAGGTGACACTGAAAAGAAACAAAACAAATGAAGGTTTGGGTTTCAGCATCCGAGGAGGAGCTGAGCATAGGGTCGGCATCTATGTGTCACTTGTTGAACAAAACTCATTGGCTGAAAAAGAAGGGCTTCGAGTAGGAGATCAGATCTTGCGAGTGAATGACAAGGTGTTTGATAAAGTTACCCATGGAGAAGCTGTTAAGGTAAGTCTTTTAATTGAAAAAATAACATACATTGATACAATATTAATGAATAATGCCATTTAATTCTTTCTGTCTTTTGTAACTTTGATTCAGTTTAAAACACAATACCCAATGTATATTCCTATATCAAAATTGGAATAAATCATAGCTAAAAATGTACTAAACTCCAGTTTGTACTTTGAGAGTGAAATTACATTGCAACATGGTAGTTACGATATCTTTACAACTATGTTGTAGCTGTTTTACAGGCAGAGATTACATTTACATCAGCAGAACCCTGAATTGAGTTTTAACCAAAATATTGTTGGAGTGAAGAACTGTTAAAGGACAGCCAGTTTATACAGCACACACTTCTGTACTCATTGCATGATGCTAAACCAAAAACAGAGTTAACTATGTGCCTGATAATGCAACCTTTACTTTGTGATACTGACACAGATATGAACAAATTAATAACTGGAGAGCCATTGAGTGTAGAACTTAGATCACTCATGAGAAAAACCTAATCACTCTCAGGATGAAACCCCAAATGAAATGAAGAAAGACATTACTCCTTTCCAAGGATAGAGTCGGATAATTTCTCTGCAATTATTATTTCATGAACATGATTTTGAGACTGGCCAGATGGACTGCAAAGTTTTATCAGATCCAACAGTTTTTTTTTGTGAAAGTAATTTTATGTAATGACTCATGTCAACTGAAACCTTCGGTTTAAGAAATTGTTACTGCAATCATTCTCAGATTAAAGTAACCATCATACTATGATATTAACACTACTGGAAGCTATTCATTTGAAGACAGTAATTTTCTTAGGTCCAGAAGTCAATAACTGGCTCAAAAATTGGCTGATATCACCCTCATTCTATCCAAACAAGACTGATTGCCCGCTAGTTTCTCTCAGTTTATTTAGTGCTGATTGCTGTCATTGTTTTGAGACAGACCATAGCTGTTTTCTAACCGTTAGCTGAAGAAACTGGAATAAAAAGTAATAAATTCTCCTTTACTAGCTGAAACACAGACTATTAGAGCTGAACCGTATAAAACACTAGTCAGGCAACAGCTAGAATGCTGCATTCAGTTCTCTTCACTACACTATAGCAACATGACTGCACCGAAGAGGATACAAAGAAATGTCCACAAGATTGTCATCAGATTGGAGAATTTTGGTTATGAGGAAAGATTAGATAGGCTAGGGTTATTTTCTTTGGAATAGGGGAGGCTGAGTCCAAATCTAATTTAAGTATACAAAATTATTAAGGGTATGAACAGGAAAGTCCTGTTCCTCTTGGCTAAAATTTGGTCTCCGGATTTAAACTAAGAGATAGGAAATTCAGAGGGAATTCAAGGAAATATTTTCACCTGAAGGGTCATGGGATTCTAGAACCCACAGTTGAAAGGGTCATTGAAACAGAAATGCTCGTAACACAGATAAAAATGCTTAGATGTACCATTGAAGTGGGATTAGATTTGATGGCTATTTCTCAGCTGGTACAGGCATGAAGGGCCAAATGACCTCTTTCCAGTCTGTAAATGATGATTTTATGGACTTTTTGTTGGACAAATGTTACAGTAACATTTCCTATTTTTGTTAAAGAAGGCCTGTAGCAATTTAAATTTGTATAAAATAGGAATACATCAGCTGAGCAAGACACAATCAATAATGCCATTGAAGCATTCTGCATTTGCAAAATGATATTATTGAATGTATAGGCCATCTGCTGTGCATAAAATTTGGCAATACACTTTTTATTAGTAGCTTTGTGGACATTTTTCTGATCCATTTTTCACCCTGAAGCCATTAACTCCTTCACTAGGGCACTTGCCATCCTGACATACCTTGCCTAAGTTCCCATTGTTCATAAATAGTTTCAGTCTATCTCTGCTAGAACACCTTCAGCAGGCTTTGCTGCATAGTTATTTTAGACAGAGAAAAGTTCAGGTCCTGAACTTTTAGATTAAACTCCTTACGTTCAGATTTGGTGACAGTTATAAACTTGCAACTGTTCTCAGAAGCAACTGTTTTACACATCGAGCTTCAGTCAAGACATCTGCATGTCTGCCAATCTGAGTCCCAAAAGCACTTTCCAAGTTGTGGGTGTTTTTCCTAATCCAATGAAAAAAAAACATAAATTTCTGATGCAAAATGAAAGCCCAATTCATAACTGTTCCCCTTTTTTGCGGTAAAATCTCTCCCATTGAAAACAAAACCCCATTACACACCAGGAACTCCCTTTCTCACTGCCTTTTTTCTTAAAAAAAAATCACTATGTCTATGGAAATACCGACAAGTTAATCATTAAACCCCTTCAGGCACAGACCAATACCTACATGTCATGTGCTCCAATCAAAACTCTAAATTAAATGATGTAATGTATTTAGAAATCATACATCTTACATCACAGTAAGAATAACCAAATAATTGGTCAGAATCTGTGGGTTTTGTAAAAAAAAGTGTAAAAGGAGGAGCAAAAGTGAGAAAAACAGGCTTCAAGAGCATTTTGGACAGTGGACTTAGAGGGTTGAAAGAACAGTTATTATTGGTGAAATGATGTTGAGGGGATTACACAAGAGATTAGAGTCAAGAACAGAGAAATTGGACCAGGGCAATGGTGAGACCACATCTTGAATACCATGATAGTAGGAACTGCAGATGCTGGTGAATCCGAGACAACAAGGTGCAGGGCTGGATGAACACAGCAGGCCAAGCAGCATCATAGGAGCAGAGAGGCTGACGTTTCGGGCCTAGACCCTTCATCAGAAAAG